CTAAGGGTTGGGGCTGCCCTTTGAGGCTCTGCCAGGGTGGTCGTCCTCTCCTCAGAGGGTGCAGAAGGGCTTTGGGCTTTCCACATCTGCCACAGCCCTGTCTGGGGCTCTGTTGTGGAGGTGGCTGTCCCAGGGCACATATCTGCAGACATAGTCTTACTAAGATGCCTGAGGGGAGGCTCTGGAAGTCCCCAGTCCTGGGGTCTCCCAGGCTGATGCCAGAGAGCTCTCGGAAGCCCAGCTCCCCCACGATGCAGTAGAAATACAAGGACTGAGAGGAACAAGCAAAAGGCTGTTGTGAGCTTGCTGTTCTCTGAATCTGTGAGCTGGTCACTCAGCAGGTGCATTGTGCAGACCAGCTGGAGGGTGAGATCAACAGGACATCAGGGCACCATCTGCCCCCAGGTAGCTCTGTTGTCTGCTTGACACAGAGGAGCAGATCGCAGATGGAAGAATAATTGAGCAGGAATTCCTGGGGCTCAGAGGACATCCCCTTGTCCTTTCCTCATCCCTGCCCCTCCCCACAGGGAACAAGTTCATGAAGCAGCTGTCCTAGTGAGGACTTGACTGTTAAGCACACTGCAGGGCCTTTTCACCATGCTGCAAACATTGCTTACTGACAAAAATACTCCTGGTCATCTTCAGCCAGTTCCTGATGGGGCGGAATTGAAACCCTGAGTGACACGATGGAGACGGAGCACAGCACATTCCTGACAAGTATGATTGCCTAGCAAGAATGCTGTCTGGTAATGTGAAGCAGTGACTCCTGGAGGAGACAGACAGCATGACAGCTCCTCTGGCCACATGGGGCTGGCCGTCTGCAGGTGGCTGTCTCCCAACACAGCTTTCTCCAGGTTCCAAGCTCTCTCATCCTGTCACCTCGGGTCTGCACAGGGAGCAGTGTCCACCACTCAGGCCTGGCTTTCTCTCAGCCCCTTCCTGTGTCCACCCCCTGGAAAGTTTACCTAGCAGGTCATTTTCAGCTGAGTGTTCTCCAGGAAAAGCCCCTCTGGGCTGATGTCCTGATAAAACGTGGGGCCTCCTTGTGTAGCCGCTGAAGCTCTGGCTGTGTCCTGCACTTGAATTCCTGCAGTGGCGCCTGGTGCCAGACGTCTGGGCCTGGCAAGGGGGAGCAGTTGTTAACCACTTGTAGTCCAGAACGTCCCAGCACTGAAATTGCACATCTAAGCTGCGAAACCATTCATCTTAATTAGAGGAGAGCTTCGATTCTGGGGCCCTCCCACCCTCCGCGGCAGGGAGACCAGCCTGGATTCCTTTCCGTTCCTTTCCTCCAGGCGGTGGGAGTCTGAGTTCCTTCTCCAACCCTGGGGCCAGCCCCACCCCCTGTCCCCAGACTGCCAGGGAAAGGGGAAGGCAGCAGGAGCTGCCCACTGCCAGTTCTGAGCCAGGACACTCACAGGGTTGATTTCCAAATTTGACCCACATGGGCCATGTACTCACTGCATCGGAATGGGGGAGCCGAGGGAGGCATGTCTGAGCAGGACGCATCATTCTTTGGGTCTGTCTTTGTTTCCTAATTTAGTTTCCCAAACTCTTGCTCAAGCCTCGTTCTCCTTCCATGGTACCGTTACTTGACATTCCCGAGCTTATTAACTGAAAAGAAAGAGGAGCAGCAAGACATCCTTTTCCTGCATTCAGTCTCGAAGCACCCGTGAGGTGGGGGTTTTCTCGTCCTGTTTTACAAGTACCAGTGAAATCGTGTGATCGGTCTGTGAACATGGGATTTCAGCAGAGTCTGACCCCATGGCCCAAGCTCCTGAGGGTTCCGGGTTCTAAGTGAGAATCCCCAGGAAAAGAGCAGAGACCTGCACCGAGTGAGCGGACCTGCAACCGAGCAGCACTTAAAAGCTCCGAGTGGGAATAAAGCATGGGTCTGCTCTAAAGGAACCCACTGGACACAGCCTTTAGCAGTTCTATGGCCCTCATCAGGGGGGAAGATTAGAGGACACTACAGGTGCCCTCAGACCAGGGACCCAAGGGACGTTCCTGAAAAAGCCAGATCTTGAAGAGAAAATTCAATCACCTGGTGCCTGTATTTTTCCATTTTCTATTATATGCATTTTTTTTGGCAGCACTGGGGTTTGAACTCAGAGCCCCATGCTCGCTAAGCAGGCACTCTACCACCTGAGCCACTCCGCCAGCTCCCCCTTTTTCTTGAGGCGGGGATGTTACTGGAGATTGGTCTCAGGCCTCGTGCTTGTTAGGGAGGTGCTGTACCACGGGAGCCCCAGCCCTTTCCCTGTTGGGTCTCGCTTTATGCCTCAGCCAGCCTAGACCACGGTCCTCCTATTTGCACTTCCTGCCTAGCACAGATGACAGGTGCATCTCACCGCACCCAGCCTTTGATTTGAGATGGGAATCTCCCAAACTTTTGCCTAGGCTGGCCTTGAACTCTGATTCTCCCAATCTCTGTCTCCCAAGAACTAGGATTACAGATGTAGGCTACCACGCCTGGCTTTCTATATGTAATTTCACTGAAGACATTCAGTCTGCAAACACCCCTGGAGTCCCTGATGCACCTGGCCATGTGCTCACATTCCAGGAATAATCTGAGATGCACAGGTGTGGAAAGACATCGGGGAAGGCGAGGCACGGTTCCCTGGGTGTGGAAGAGGTGACAGGGTGGCATCAAAGGCCATGCTTAAAGGCTTCTTGGAGCAGGGCAGCCCTGTTTTATACAGTGCTTTGTGAGAAGAGCTGGATGGTCAGTTGGATGTGTCTGGGGCAGGAGAACAAGCCCACACAAAGTGCATCAAGACGTATAGGAAATGTATGAGCAGCAGTGAGCCAACACCAAGGCAAGGCACCTGGGAAGGACTCATCACAGAAGCCTCCAGAGAGAGTGCAGAAATGAGCTGAGCTCTCAGAGGCCATTTCACAGGGTGTGTGGGGTGAGCCGGATGGGCCCCAGGCTGTGGCCCTGCAGTCCAGCTAAGGGGCATGCATGGCCTTAAGAATGGTGACAGTGAGGATGGACAGGCCTCCAGGACAGGTTGGCTTCCTGAGCTGGCCCCGGGGTGCACGGTGGGGAGGGAAAGCAAGTTCCTCTAGGGTCTGGTCCTTTTTCCACATTCTGTAGCTCCCTGTCCAGCCCTAGGTCATCCAAACACACACTGCAAGTCAAAATGCCAGAGGTTTGCCAGGAGAAGACAACAGCTGCTACGGGCTCAGCATTCATACTGAGTGAGGCTGGGCCTAAGGCTGAATCGAGACGCCATCCTCATCCAGGATCACCATCCCTGGGAACGTCTGTTGGAGGCTCAGCCAGCTCCTCCCACCCATACCTAGGCTTCCTCACCACTCAGCCCCTACTGTGGCACTAGGGCTGCCATGAGCTAACTGGCCACAGGAGGGATCTAGATGCAGATACTCTCAAAAAACAGCAACTGTCACCTCTTGTTTCAGGCACTCAGCAAGCTCCGGCAGATACAGCAAGGAACAAAGTTTTCATCCTCATCCTCACAGATACACATTCTTCCCAAACTTCACACACAGCTGATCAGACCTCATTTCACTAGTGAGAAAACACAAACCTGTGGAGCTCTCAGCTGCAATCAGACATCACAAATAACGCTGTTGAAACCAATGCAGAGGCAGGACCATGCTGGAGCCAAAGTCTCCTAGCCCGAGTGACTGTAACACTACACAGTCCTTGTCCCTGCACTGTTGGTCACACTCCAGTCCAGCACGTCCACCTGTATGCCAGCCGTGATGCTTAACAATGCTAACATCCACTGTGCTCCTGGCTCACGTATCAGCTGTAGGAGGCTTGGTCGTTTTCCAGAGTGCTATCCTTCTATTTGTTTAAGAGAAAAGAAGGAGTGCCTCAACCTGTGAGAGCCACACATCCACAAAAACACCTCGGGTTGCACTTCTCGGAGCACATGCATTTAAGTGACATGGGGCTGTCACCAGCAGGACGTACTGAGTGCAGTCCCCTGACTCCAAGTCTGGGGTGCAGGAAGGGAACTTCAGTCAGCATTTAGTTTCAGGAAGGGGAAGGTTCTTTTAAAATCCTTACATTTTTTTTCAGAAGGCCTTAGCAGACCTAGTATAACTCCTTATTTTACAAATGAAGGTCTGGAGTGAAAGTCAGAGTAGGTTTCTAGAGAGGTTTGGATGCCTTAGTGCCAGGCCCTGCTCACATGGGCACTCTGCTGTGGTCTTCAGGGCAGAGCAGGGCAGCAGTTCCCAGGAGGGCACCGTGTGTGGGGCAAAGGCGTGCTGCTGCCAGGCTCAGGTTCCCTTTCCCCATCAGCGCTGCCAAGGAAGAGCCCCTGCTCAGCAGGTGTGAGGAAGCCCATGCACCGTCCATGGCAGAGGGCTCTTCAGCAGATGCTCATCAAGACAGGAAGGAAGGGGACCCCTTCCTGCACTCAGGGGGACCCTGAGTGCAGAGGTCCCCAGGGCACAGTGGCAAGCTTGCGCAGAACCTGATGCCAGCAGAGCAGAGGGTGGGAGGGCTCAGCCAAATGGGACTTTCTCTGTAGACCTATTAGGGGAGCAGGGGATGGGATGGAGTGGGTATGCCATGGGCCATAGTGACCCAACCTGTCTGGAGAGTTCATTATCCTACTCTGTCTATGTTCATAAGTTTGAAATTTTGTGGGATCCAATCTTTGTAGAAATTTGATGCTGTCCATAATAAGGAAGTTTGCAAAAGCAATTGAATCACTCCAAAAGTGTCCCAAGAGGAGCAGGTGTCCACTCTCCTCAGAGTCCTGGTCTGGAGACCTCACCCCAGAGCCATAGTCACATGCTCACTCCCATCATCAGCCCACAAGATGTGCCCAAATGCACAACTCAAAGATACGCACTCACCCTTGCATGTACCATAGTGGACACCAATTTGTATCGTACCCTTGATCTTCACAGAGTCCTTTGCTGGCAGTTGGCTATCACGTGTATTGCCTGTTGCTCTGTGGGCCTCCAGCTCTGCAGAAACCTGTGGTTAAGGTCATCTTCTTTCTTGTCTGCAGCTTGTCAGGATGCCCGAGAGCCACATCAGCCATGAAGAAAGCAAAGCTGTCCGGAGAACAGATGCTGACGATCAAGCAGCGGGCCAGCAATGGTAACCATGCCCCGAGCCTCCCCAGCACCTGCAGGCCTGCCATCCCCATGCACCAGCACTGTGTTCTTAGCCGGCAGAAGCCGTGGTCATTCAGTCCTACCCACAGCCCACGGCCCAGGGTCTCCAGTGCTGAGCAACTTGCTCCCCCATATTCACAATGTCCCCTTTCCCACCTCCTGCTCATGTCCTCAGCCCTGGGCCTCCCACCAGGAGCATCTTTGGGTGCTCAGAACATGCTGCACCCATCCCACGCCCTGCCCTTTCCTCAGCATGTCCAGTGCCTGGTTTTCTTGAATTCATCTGCAAAGGCCACTTCCTTCAAATTGCCTTTGTTGCTGATGACTTGCTTCTGTGTGTACAAAGTTTACTGAGGAAAACTGAGGGCCTTGGGGGGCTGTGGAAAGGAGAACAGGATTGCACAAGCCCCTGGGCCCTAGAAACATCTCACAGTCCACTCTTATACTCTAGGGTTCCATAGGTGCACTCTCCGGCTACTTGCTAAAATTCATTTACAACCTCTAAGTCAATGCTCCTAGCACTTCTGTAGTTATCCATGAGCTTGCAAAGAGAGGAGAGACAGCTGAGTGGCCCAGAGGGCAGCTCCCAGCTGAGGAGGGGCAGGTGTTGTTCTGACTTCACACCTTAGCTCTCAGACTATGGTGGTCTATTTAGTGCCACATTTTTTTGTACTGTGCATTTTCTTGGTGGTTTTCCTGGGTGAACAGGCCTCTAGACATAGAGCTGAAGTGCTGTCTAGGTTCCTGAGAGTAGGAAGCTATGATGTAGCCCCACAGAGGAGACAGGGATGCCAGAGACGCCTTGTTCAGCAGTGTTCTGCTGCCGTGGGCCACAAGTGCAGAGTTAATCTGTGAACAACACGCACTAACTAAGGTGTCCTCACTCCAAAACGCACATAAAGCAAGGTTATCCATTGATTGGCCGACAACTGGGTGTGCTCAGAAGCCAGCAGCCCACCCTGTATTTCTGCAGGAACCACATCTCAGTACTCACCTGTGCGGGGTTCAGGTGACCATAGAACATGACCCTGTGAACAATGAGATTGGCTGTAAGGTGGCTGGTGTCTCTGAAGTGGAAGTTCAGCCTTTCCCGCTCTCAGGAAAGTCATGGAAACTGGGGCTCAGGCAGAGCCAGACTCACCCTGAAGCCGGTGAAGCAGAAGCTCTGCCTCTCTCCTTTTGCGAGACACTTCCTTACTCTGTGTCCTCAACCTTCCCCCCACACACACCTCCCAGCTCTTTAAGCACTGCAGAATGCAGTTGACCGATGACTTCTCACCTCAGACCAGAAGATCTGTCCTCCAAAACAGCCTCTCAGGTTGGACCCTTTACGCTAGGATACCTCCTCCCACCCCAGCTGACATGTGCAGGACTGGGTGCTCCCAGCCAGCAGATCGGGAGCCCCATCTCATCACCAGGGTCTTCTCTCTGTCATCTCACATGTACTTGAGGTCCTCAGGACAGCACAAGCATGTTTGCCTTCAGAAGTCAGTGGTGTGGCCTGTCACCTGGTCCGTCATTTACAGAAACTTAACCAGATTTGAAATGCTATCCTTAAGAGTTTCTACCTGTTCTGAACCAGAGTCCTGCCTCACAAGTTTACTCTGTCCAACCCAGGGCAGTGCTGGCACTGGAGATTTACTCAGAAGTTCTTGGAGCCACCTGCATGCTCTCTTCTCTACAGCTCCGGAGGCTGTGTTGAAGAGACCAACTTTGAGACACACAAAACCAATGTCCACTTCTCTCTTTCTGGGTCACTAAGGAGCCATGATCATCCCCAGGAAAAAAAAAAAAAACACATACTGAGTTCTATTTATGCACCAGGTACTCAGAAAATACTAAGCATGTCATCTCACCCCAAATAGCCCAGGTGCTGATGCTGACACCTTAGGCAAGTTGAGCTGAGCCTGTGTTCACTGGATTCTCTTTAGGAAAAAGAGTAGTGGTTATGTGGGGACCAGCTCAAGAGAAAGAGGAAGACACAACTGACCTGCAGGTCTTGGGGGAGAGACAGCTTGCACTGGGGTAACTCCGCCAGGTAGGCAGTGAACAGCTTGGGCTACCAGCTCTCAGAGATACCAACTCCACTCTTTGTCCATAGGCCAGGGTTTGTAGTTAGGGCATTATTTGTTTTACAAATCCGGATTTTTCCGTACTGAGCATTCCTATTTTAGGGTAAAACTTTTTTTTCGTTCACTAAAAGCAACCCTAAGGCCCATAAACATGCCTATCTCTTTCTGTTGGTCCGCAACCTTTCCGAGGTGGGCAGTTAACTTTGTTCAGTCTCCGCAGTGTTCTGGGGTGTCTCGGGCCTCCGTTTGGGCTAACTGGGCTCCAGTGTCTGCACAGTTTGAAAGTGTCATCTGTCCATACAAGCACTCTCTAGGCCTGGGCTGCACAGGTGTCCACTGGTCTCAGAAAAGGACACCATGTTGGGCTGCAGGTACCCACAATCCCAGGCCCTTGATTTTGTGACCAGCAACCATACACAACCAGCCAGCAGAGCAGCCGTGAAAGGCCCTCCGTGGACATGGTCCTCGTGTTCCTGGCTCTTGCATGTTGGAAGTCACTTGCCAGGCCACTCGCCACTCAGTAGTCACGTACACACCTGCTCAGGTTCTGAGCGTGGTGAGAGTGGGGCAGGTCTTGCTGTGGAAGCCTGACACGTGAGCAAGATGACAGGGGAGAAAGCAAGGGGAAGAGGAGGACCCTGAGCATGGGAGGTGGAGCTGGGCAAAGCAACTTCCAGCCCGAGGCGGTTTCTGCCAAAGCCAGAGGCGCTAGTCAGTTACCCGGGGAGTTTGGTCCATCAGAGCCAGGTTCCTTGTGGCTCAGTTTGTTTTCTTTCTTTAGGTTCCTTGGTTATAGGGAAGGCAGGGGAAGTGACAGAAAGACACCCAAACTTTTTGACCCTGTTTTTTTAAATTCAATGATATATTTTCTAAGCCAATTCTATTCCAAATACAAAAAGAACAAAGAAAACTCAGAATTCCGCCTGTAGCGTTTCAGATCCGGTAGGCTCACCGTGCCAACTTTGCTGTTCCAGGCATAGAGAACGATGAGGAGATCAAGCAGTTGGACGAAGAGATCAAAGAACTGAATGAGTCCAATTCCCAGATGGAGGCTGATATGATCAAGCTTAGAACTCAGGTAACGGCTCGTTAAGCCTTGACCCTGCTTCTGACACGCTGGCGATCCAGTTCTAGTTCTAACCTGAGCCCCGATTCTAGTTCTAACATGGATCCCCAATTCTACTTCTGAAGGGGAGTCCTTAATTCTAGTCTAACAATGCTCCTCCACGGGGTGGTGGCCTAAAGTGGCTTTGTGGAGAAGTGGCATTTACTTGTTCTTTGCTCATTTTCTTTTTTATTTCTTGACATGGTGTTTTGCTCTTTTGCTGAATCTTTTCATGGCAGTATTTGCTGTAACCCATTCACTGTGAACCGCCTGCTTTCTGTCTGTGTGTGCTTGTGTGTTTCGTGAAATATGCTCAGATAGCCATTTCCAGAGGCTCACCTGTGCCTATGAAAGGTGGCAGGTGTGGCTTTCCTCCCTAGTGTTGTTTGACATGGCGTGGCCTCACAGTGCTGGCTGACACTTCAGGGTCTCTGAGGAGTGTCTGTGTTACTCAAGCCTCCTGAGTATGGACAGTGAAAGCTGGCCGTGCGCGGGCTCCAAGGGCCCTGTGGTCGGCTGGGAGGTGAGGGAATGACTTTCTTGAGTTTCCTTGAGTACCTGATGATAGAGGACTTTCACAACCCCACTTGCAGCCTGAAAGGTAGGTGTCCTCATGGAGCGCCATGCAGTATGGCCATGGCCCTCCACCCATGCATGTGCTCTGTTCCTTGTGTCCACTCAGACCCCAGACGGCTGATCCCCCAGGGACTGCCTCGCACACTTTAGCATGGTGACACAGAATTATGCCAAGCCCAAGGCGGGTTTGACAGTTAGGGTGAACATAGTCCCAGCAGGCTCACCTGAAGCCTGGAGTGGAGGGGAGATCATCACAGCCAGTGCCCAGGGCTGTTGTTCACTCAGAGGATCAGGTTCTGCTCAGGGAGAGCCCAGATTTAGACATGTCACATAGAGCCACCAGAGGGAAGGGGACTTCCATCCCAGCATTTCTGAATTTCAGAAATGCTGAAAAGCATTTCAGAATGCTGAAAAATGGTGAGAAGATCTCCCCCAGCACTGTCTGTAGAACGTGCTGAGGTTGCCATCTGCACGTGGCACCACAGATTGGGTGAGCTAAAAAGAAAGGGAGTTCACTTTCACTCAGGGTTCAGGAGACTCAAGGTCAAGGACCCCATCTGGTGATAGCTTCTTGCTGGCAGAGCCATGCTGAGGTCAGGCCGCACGTGCGTGCAGGTTTGCATGTGTGTCTCCTCTGATCTCCTCCTCTTCCCGTAAAGCCACCAGGATTGGATCATGGGGCACCTTTAATCCTAATCAGCCCCAAGGCTCCCCTGTGTCACTAGACATAATTACCAATTTACAGTATGTTTAGTAATGTTTCTGGTCAAGTCAGTACAACCAAGACAGCTTTGACGTATCTGGAAAACGTACACATTCTTACACGGTGCACCTCTAGAAGAAGGGGCTGTCTCTGGGACTTTGAACCTACTCAAACTCAGATGGGAAGTCCTGAATGACCATCCTGTCACCCCTCTAGGTCATCAGAAGGGCCAAGGGGCCCTTAAGGCCTGCCATGTCCCCACCCTAACACAGCTGGATTCAATCAGCACATGCTTTTAGAGGCTCAAGTTTTGCCAGCACCTGGCTGGGATTCCATAGGGTTATGAACACACATCTCATCCAACTCAACTCAATTCACACCAAACCACAGTCCCGGTGACTTATGCAGGGCTCAAGCACAGAGCTACGAAGATTAGCAAAGCTAATCTGTGTGCCCAGGGAACACACAGAAGGCGCTTCTCAGAGTCCAGAAAAAAAAAGTGCCTACAAGTAAGAAGGAGACTGAGGGCCATAGAGCAGGCCTAAAGCCAGGCAGTGTGATGAGGGAGGGTGGTGTGAACCATGCCCGGGGCTGTAAGAAGGACCCCAGAAGAAATGCAAGACGCCCACAGACACAGGTCGATGGGGAGGAGGAACATTCCAGACACAGGAGACAGGGAGTAGAGGGTCAGGTAGGAAGCCTGTCGGGAAGCTGCCCTCTGTGGTCACAGCGTCAGGTTTGGCAGTTTTAGGAGAGAGAGTATTAAAACATGAAAGAGAATAAGTGTGTTCAGAACAGACTGCTAATGAGGAATTGCCCAGCTGCTGACTCTGTGCCCTGTGGGCCAGGGCACACATCCCCACAGCTTTGCTCTTGCGGTGCTTGGCAGATCTGCTAGTCCTATGGCCGGTCTTGGCTTCTTCTCCCTCTGATCTCAAATTCTTGGTGTAATCCAGTCTCTAAATTTCTGTCTTGACCCCGCTTCAAGCACACATGGTGGCAGGAAGTAGTGTCCTCCTTCACGTGGGAGCTGCACTTGACTCACCACCAGCCTCTGGAAGTACTTAGCCATTTTGTGAATCTTCTGCAAAGGGTTTACAGCACATTGCACCATCCTGGGCTCTGAGCTCAGAAGACATCAGATAATAACTGTCTGGGCATTTGGACACTGCTGCCTTTGTCATGCCAGCTCTGTCATAGCACAAGTGCACTTGACTGGTGTCTTCTGCCAGCAAGGCTCCATGTGACACGGAATGTGAGTTTAAAGTAGTCTGGAAGCGTCAGAAAGTAGTGTTATCCTTTTGAGTTTTTTCTAATCATTAAAAGAAGCAAAACACATCATAGCTCATGGGCCTTTCAAAATCAGCTTCAAAATCCAGACTCAGGCTGGATTTCATGTCTAGCGACTCCCACCGTTGGAAACACTTAGGCCCAGATGGAGATGGTGTGGAGCAGGTGGTGAAAAGCCAGGGTCTGACCTGGACCCGTGTGTCAGCTCTGGTGGACATGGGAATTTTCTCAGGAGGAAACAATGTATACCCTGTGCTGGCTGCTTTACAGACCTCCAGTTTGTCTTAAAGACACAAACCCTCTCTGACATTGCCAGGGAACTACATGGTCCTCAGAACTCAGATTTATGCAGGGTATGTGCTACCAGGTCAAAGGGCCAGCTGCCATTGTCCCTGAGGGCCAGGACAGGTATGTCACCCAAGACCATGGCGGATCCAGCCCCAGGCCCAAGGCCTGGCTCTGCAGGCAGAGCAGGGCTCTCCCCATGCCAGCACTTGGAATCAAAACCTTCTGGATGCCAGGTGCGGGAGGTGTCCAGTGCCCAGCACTGCTTCAGTGGGCTTGGCAGGAAAACATTTGACTCTGTCCTCCTGCTCTGCATCCCTTCCTGAGTGTGATGCCTTGGGGAGAGGCCTAGGGGGGTGCCCCCTGCATTCCCTCTCAGTAGTTTTCTGCCTCCTATGGCTACCACACTGGACTTCACAGGGCATTTCACTGCAGTCTGGACAGGATCAAAGGCCCCAAAACCAATGTCTTTTTACTGAAAACTGCACATCTCCATGAGAGGTTCCTACTTTCCAGAAAAACAACCCAAGATTCATCTGACTAGCCCAGGAAAGCCGAGACCAATAGCCCCCATGGACTTCTAGAGTCTTGGCCCCTTGAGAAAGGCCTTGGGCAGGTGGACCTGAGTCTACACGACAAGCTGCTGTTTAGAGCTCAGTTTAGTTGCTGGAGACTCAGATGGTTCTGGGGAAGGAGGCAGGGCTGTGAGGCTTAATATGTCTCCAACCGTTTCCACCTTGGCTCATCCTGTGAATGGCACAAGCTTGCTAGGCCGGACTGGATCAGAAGATTGAAACGTCCCTGGGCCATAAATGCACGGACAAGTGCCCTTTGTCACCAAGGTTTGGTCTGCACACTTGTCATTCTCCATGGTTTGCCCTACTCACTGCTGAGTGGAGTCCACACAGGAGACTGGTTCTGTCTCGGGACAGTTCTGTGCTGCCCTGACCACCCAGGCCATGTTGAGGAATTCACCTGGCTTCAGGGGCTTGTTGGCCTTCCTTGGTCAAGAAGACACATCCGTGTCCTTGCAGTTTGGAGCAGAAATTGACCTGAAGTGGCCCCCATGAATACTGGTAGAGACAGTCAGATACATCCTGAGGCATGACCCACCCTGGACCCTCAGATTGCTTTGTCCATCCCCATGGAGGTCAGACTGGCTCATGAAATGAAGGGTTGGAAAGCAACCAAATGCAGAGGGGAGGAGGGCTGGAGCCTGCAGAGGCTGCAGGGTCCTGGGCATAGGTGTGAGGGGTGCTGGGGACCTGGTGTGGCCACTGATCTGAGAAGTGCCTGGCCAGAAGGAGGAGGCCAGGGCCTCTACTCAGAGGCTCATTAGTCTCCTCCCTCCACTTTGCCTCCTCTTTGTATGTTCCCTGAAACCCAAAGGACCTTGTTATCCTGCCACCTCCCGGAGGTGTACTGAAGCTTAGAAAGCCCATTTCTGCACAAATCAGTTTTCTTCCTAGTAACTGGCCATCATCAGCTGCCAGTGGCTCTGAGTACCTGAAATGCCGTGGCTCCATGAGCTCCAGGGGCAGCTGCCACCAGGGCCTCCTTCCAAGGGCGGTGACCAGTCCTCACATCCACTGATGGGCCTGCGAGGTATCACAGGAATGGGAACATTAATTTGATTAATAAGTACTAGACAAACAAGGGAGAAAGCTCACAGGGATGTGCAGGGAAGGAAAGCCACGTGACTTGAGTGGGTCCTGCACAGGACAGAGTCTCCCGGAGAACCATGGGACCCTGGGTTCCTTCCTTGGAGAAACCCCCACTAACCCACTGCCCTGGCTGGCATTTCCAGGGAGCTCCACTGGTCTCTACAGAGGATCTGGGTCTCTGACTGTGACGACAGATGGGAGGTACTCAGAAAAGGGAGAAAACGGGATGTAAGCCAAATGCAGTAGACGGATGACAAGAAGATGGGGGAGGAGAGAAGGATGGAAAGCTCATGAAAGAAGAAGTCAGGGACAGTGGATCGGAAAGAGGAGGCACGGCGTGGACCAGAATGCCCCAGACTTCATGGGTCAGTCCTCCAGGGATGAGCCAGAGCCAGGGCAGAGAGCTGGGGGTGGGGAGCACATGGCATGCTCTGAAGTGCTCATGGCAGCCCCCAAGCCCAGAGTGTGTGTGCAGGGAGGTAGAGGTTCCCAAGGCCCACACTCAAGCCCTTGACCACGGCAATACGCAAACTCCCCCGAACCCTTAGAGGAAGAAACTGAGCCAGGAAGCTGTTGGGCTCGACCTGTTGTAGTGATACACTAGCCACTGGTATGGACAGACTGCCCACTTGGCTCCTATCTGAGCAGAGAAATTAACATTGTGAGGACTTAACCATGGCAGGCTAAAAGAATAAGTATCAGCAGCAAGCCAGGAAAATCCTAACCCACGCAAACCCTGTAAGCCAGCAGGGACCAGGATAGCACAGTGAATGGCTATTATGGGATTCTCGATGTACAACAACACACCGGACAGTCAAAAAAATTGAATGAAAGGCCAGGCACAGTGGCTCAAGCCTGTAATCCCAGCTACTGGGGAGGCAGAGGTCAGGAGGATCGAGACTCAAGGCTAACCTGGACATAAAGTTCCAGAGACTCCCATCTCAGCCAATGGCTGGGCACTGTGGTACATGCCTGTTATCCCAGATATGGTGGGAAACAAGAATAGAAAGATCAGAGTCCAGGCTAGCTCAGGCATAAAGTGAGACCCTATCTCAAAAACGACCACTGCAAAAAAAAAAAAAAAGAAGAAGAAGAAGGAAAGCCAACACAGCTAGAAGCTACATAGTCTAGTCATCAAATTCTCAAATGCAAAGAATCAAAAGCCAAGACCCTTAAAATCCCAGATCCTCTTCTGAGAAGCCTTTGGACATCAGCAGAAAGGTCCTTTCTTTGCATCAGTATTGTGGTCACTTGTGGCAAGAGTCCTTGCTCCCAGCGACCTGCCATGTGTCACATGTCACACGCATTTGTGCATTTCAGATAACCACAATGGAGAGCAACCTGAAGACGATTGAAGAGGAGAACAAAGTCATTGAGCAGCAAAACGAGTCTCTTCTGCACGAGCTGGCCAACCTGAGCCAGTCTTTAATTCACAGTCTGGCTAACATCCAGCTGCCTCATATGGTAAGTGACTGAGCGCTCCAGATGAGGGCCTTGGATCCTCCACAGTTCACGTCATATAGTAGATGTCGTTTATCATTGCTCCATGGTTCTTCAACCTGTGGGTGTTTGTGGTTGCCACCCTAAAACCATAACATTAACTGCTAGAAACATTGGTGGGGCTGATCCTAAAAAGTTACATGTGCTCCAACTGGGCCTGTTGAGTACCAGGGAACAGAGGTCCTATTCTATGGTACTGTTTGATGCTTTTGTGAATATACTACTCAGACAATGAAAGTTGTATATGAACTACTATTTAATATCTCGTAGGATCCAATCAATGAACAAAATTTTGATGCTTACGTGACTACTTTGACGGAAATGTATACAAATCAAGATCGTTATCAGAGTCCAGAAAATAAAGCCCTACTGGAAAATATAAAGCAGGCTGTGAGAGGAATTCAGGTCTGAACAGCTGCTAGTGCTCATGAGATCCATGCTTAACAAGGATGCTTCTTGTTCTTTTGCTGCTCTACTTTGCCAGAAAGTGTTACATATTTCTTTCTGTTGAAACAGTGTTAACGCTTACAAGACTTCATAATGATTTTATGTCTTGCTTTAAAGATAGTACCTGCAGAATAGTTTTTGAACACATTCACATTTTGTACGTTTTCATATAAGCTGACGTCGTGTGCTATGCCGTAATGTTTCTAGCTGCTACTGTATGAACATTTGGGGTCTATATATTTCTGAAGAGGTAAGCTACTCAAGATAAATAGAGTGTAAATTCTTTTTAATGCTTTAGTGATTAAATGTTTTAGTATTTTGAACCGAAATGGACAAAAGAGAAAAAGAAAACAAAATGAAACAAAACAAAAAAAAAACAAAAACCCATCTTGGAACGATCACATCGTCGTGGCGCAATGGTCACTTTTTAGATGTTATCATTTTGCCTCGTGTTGGAGGAGTTATGGAATTAAGAAGTACATTTTGTGTGCATATTGTTTCATAGCGAGAATTGGTTGCAGAAATGCTTTATTTTTGAACACTGCTTGCAAATATCATGTGACTCTTTGTTTGTTTGTTTTAGGAGGATGGTGTATGGTGGGGGCAATAAATGAGTGTTTTTGCATTCCAAGGAAATACCATTGGATTAACTATAAGAAATGAAATAAGTAATTTATTGTAAGACAACATCAAGCCATGGAAACTTGGCAGAAGATTCAAAGCAGCTTAAACAGCACTTTTAATTAACAACTCCTAAACATTACATGGTGTGACCGTGGACACTTCCGTTAAGACACGAGCTTGTCAGAGGTGGACAACACGAAGATTTTCTGTCATTTCAGTAAACTTTGGAACATCTCTGTCCTATCTCTCCTAGAACCCCAAGTCCCTCTGAACTCTTGCCACGAAGTAGTTTACCTTATTGAAGCTGTGTGTTTTCAAATTTGAGTGAAAAGATAATTTAAGAGCATTTATTTCCCCTTTCTCACTTTAAAAAAAAATCCTTATTATTGCTGTTATTCTTGCTTCACCCTTGAAGGATGAAGGCTTATGGCTTGTGAGTGTTCTGGTTACTGGACAGAATTTCCTGCTGGACGGGTGGGAAACCACTCGGTAAAGTTTCCTTCCCCATCCCTGCCCTCACTTTGACTTTGAATAAGCCTTTGGTCTTATTCACAGCACTTGAAAAGGACAGACACCTACGTCCCCCCCTTGGCTGGGGTCAGGTGACCACATAGCATTCGCATAGCCTTGCTTGGTTGATCGCGACCTACTCTAAGAATGAATGCAATCAGATTTTAAAAGTAATTAAATCTACTTTGGCACTTTTTTGCTTTAAACTTGATCATGTTAGACTTGTTTGTACCTTCAAGATTTGATTGTCTGATTCCAAATGACTGCACTATATGGATGCAGAAGACCACTGTTGACTGCTGTGCCCTCCTCAGTGGTCCTTTGACCACGTGTTGTGTTTCCCCGTGTTGACTTGGTTTCCTTTCTGTAGCATCTCTCCCTTCCATGTCTTGATGTTATGCAGGAAGTACAAAAGTACTTTAAAATTTTGTTATGAAATAAAAAAAAAAGATGGGTTTTGTAAAAATAAAAAAAAAATATTTTTAGCAGAACAGGACTTACAGGGTCATTGTCCCCACAATGTGCCAGTCAACTGTTTGCACTCACCTTGTCCTACATATCCGTACGGAGGTGTGCAATTCCGGTGTCAGCCGCCTTGTGACACTGAATGAAGCTGGATGATTACGGAGGAGGCCCTCACGGCTGACCCAATACGGTTGCTAAGGGAGACTACAGGGATCTCACAACAAATATTCTGATACAATACTCAACCTCGGTATATATATATATGTACAAATATATGATCATCCCAGCTGCACTTTATACTGTTCACTGTACAAAACCTTGCAGTTTTCCACAAGGACTTTAATAACTAGCTGGGAAAAAAAAAAAAAAGATTATGTAATTACTTTGGGGCTCTGCAGAACCTTCTCTGCGCCACGCCCCCTTTCTGTTGTGCGATTAGTTGTAGCTGCCATGCTCAGAAATGCCTTTTTGAGAGCAGAAGCCGGTGCTTAGGTCACCTGCTACCGTACACCGGGTGCGGGCCCTGCCTCGCCTGCCTCGCCTGGCCTCGTCTCGGGAGGGCCTGTCCATAGCGGCGCCTGCATTCCCTACCACGTCTCGTCTGCAGCTTCTCCGCCAATGTAGTGATGCTTTCAGTAGAGTAATAGGTAGTATGGGTTTGAACTCTTATTCTTCTCACCATGTACAATGGAAAGGGACTCTAAGCACAAACCTGCTGCTCGTGTAATGTTGATACATAATATCAAATCAAGTTATCTGTGACTATTATATAGGGATCACAAAAAGTGTCACGTTAGGATGCTGACCTACATGAAACTATTGTGAGTCATCAGAGGTTATTTATTATAACTTATTGTTCATATTCATTTCCAAGTTAATTTAAGTAATCATTTATTAAGACAGAATTTTGTATAAACTATTTATTGTGCTCTCTGTGGAACTGAAGTTTGATTTATTTTTGTACTCTACACGGCATGGGTTTGTTGACACTTTAATTTTGCTATAAATGTGTGGAATCACAAGCTACTGTGATACTTCATTTTTTAATTGTGAACTTTGTACAAACTTTGTCATGCTGATGTGAACACATCTTACTCTGAATAAAAAGGTGTTGCCACGTTTGTAGCACGAAGGATCTCTAGCCGGGTCTGCGTCTTCAGTGCATGTGCAACCTCCCACCCCCCAAAGTTACCCACCTTGTTTTTAACGTTCTGGGCCCCCCAAGTCTACCTCCCCCCGCAAAGTTACTTACTTGGGATTTAACACTGGGAGAGGGTTGGCTCTGACTCCAAGGCGTATCAGAGGGAGCGACTTTTAACTCTGAGCAGTGGGCATCTTGCTCACCGAGCTCTGATTTGGGAAAGGAGGTTTTGCCACATTTGCTGTTACTGAACACAAGCCCACACCTGGTGTCCAGGTGAGCCCGTAATGTCCTCTGTGGGTTTTCCTTATCTGGAATCCCATTCAGGATCCATGCTGGTTCGGTCACCTGCCAGGCCCTTTTGTCTTCTCATTCTCAAACAGTTCCACAGCCTTCCTAAGTCTCTCAGAACATGGGCCCAGAATAATTGTCTTTGTGCAATGTCCCTGAACTGGCTTTTGTGATTGTTACCTCCTGACTGGTTCAGTTTAAAGGGGAGATGTGTCCTGCTCAGGCTCATTTGGGGTCACACAGTGTCACTTGGCCCTGTTACTAGTAACGCACAGTTACTTCCAGATGACATCAAGGATCAGAACACCAAAGTCACCCACAAAACCTAAGTCACCTTCAAATATGACTTAACAATGAACCACCCACTTTCACACTCTCTCTGCTAACAAAAGTCGTGGTTTAAAATTGCAAAACGCTGTCCTTTAATGTTCACAGCCCCCAAAATACAAAATCTGAGGATGAGTACCCCCTGCCCTGGTTTTTGTTAAATTCCAAACTTACTCCCAAGATTCCAGTCCACCCAGCCCCTCTCAGAGGCCGTGTGTTGCCGCAGTGCCTCTTGGGAGAAGTAAAAGTGACAGGAGGTGTTAGGAAAAACACCGCTCACAAAGAAAGCTCACAAGAAAAGTCTCACGTCCAAGAGCAAGGTTTAATGGCAGGCTCCAACCGCCAGGCTGGCTGGGGAAAGATGGCGCAGCAGCGATTCTGGGCCAGGTGTGGCTGTTATAGACGGGGGAGGTTAAGGAAGTTAGTGCAGGCGGCGGTAGTCTCTGGTAGGGGTGGGGCTGTCTTAGAGCTCGGGAATTTGTCCTTGGGAGTTTCTCAAGTGAGATCTGAGGGTAAAATGGCCACTGACTTAGAAATGGCGACATTATTGTTTTATCATTCCCCCATTTTTTCTTTAATAATGATGAGGGTAGGGGCTGAGGATCAGGAATTGGGGTGAAGCATTGGTCTCTTTAGCTGCTTCCTGTTGGCAGGTGGCATTGTATGGGGCGGGATCCTCAGGCTCCTGTGGTGTCCTGGATGGGGCCTTCACAGTAGTTTTTCCAGGCGGTTTGGGAGAGGTTGGTATCCCTGCAGGTACAACTGGTTAAATTTTTGATTAGCAGTAGCAGACATGTGGTATGATACGAGGGAGGAAGCTCAAGAATAGGACAGCAAGAAACACAGGCATTAGGATGGGCATTGGCCAGGAGAACCACTGTGAAATGTTGTTCCCTAGACAATCTCAAGAGTCCTCCAACTTCGTTCTCTGTATTTCTGTTTCTTGAGAGGTGCTGCCACTGGGGGGTCCCATTGAGCTTGAGGGCTGGTCCACTGAAGTCCCAATGGAGAGGGTTGAAGATCCTTTAGGAGAACAAGATGCCCTGATTTAACAGAAATTGTTATAGGGTGGGGCAGGATCTGGTTTGCATGCTCTCTGAGAAGTTCCCTGAGAAGGTTAAGATAAGGCAGATAGTCAGCCAGAGGAGCAGAGTCTGTTGGAGGCAAGTTTTCTAAGAAAAATGGGTGGCCATACATTATTTAAGACCCAAATAGGAATATTAGGAGGAGCATAAAAGATGTCTGCTCAGGGACTGCATACCTAGGGATCTAAATTCTGCAAAATCCTGTAACTCCCAAGAAAGCTCTAAGCTGCTTTATGGTATGGGGGGAGAGGGAAACAAAAGATTGGGTTGATGCACTCATGACTCAGGGAGTGAGTCTGTCCCTTTAAGGCCACACCTAGTTAGGTGACCTGTGGGAGGCAGGGGCTGTCAGGATTTAAATGTAACACTCTTGGATAAAAGAGACCTCTAGCTCATTTTTAATATAACTTTGTAAATGTTTGTACCTATTTAGATAAAGTATAGACACAACACTGTTACAAGATGGTCATTTAAGACACATAAGCAAATATGTAAATGAACTCTGATTTAGTAGCACTTAAAGCTTGACAAGATCAGCAGAAAACACAAATAATTTCTTTGATAAAATCTTTCTCTGTAATGGTTTTTTGTAGATATCACTCAGAGCAGAACAATATTAAGATAACCTTGTTATTTTATAGACATAGAGAATTTGATTTTAGTTTGACATGACCCTAAAAATCTTTTAGACAACTCTTAGATTATACTCAACTTTAACTTTATCACACACCGAAGCTTTTTATTATACACTTTTAAAATTTACTCAGACCTTCATATAACGTACTAAACCCTTTGATGGTTTGTCCTTATGCCTCCTCTTTGAAACAATCTTTAGGACAAACCCTTCTCTACAAAATCCTTTCTCATCCAAAAAACATTTGTTTTTCCTTTAACTTCTCAAAAAATGCATTCACTACCTATCTATATCCTTTCCAGTTGTTTACTTCGTAACTTGTATTTTAAAATTAACTTTTATAAGAATTTTAAATTTATTATAGGGGCTGGAGCAACTAATTAGTTGCCCTTGTTGTTTTAAGAAGTTTATGATAGGGATAAAGCATCATTGTCCCTCAGGCTTGAGGGGATATTGTTTTGGGTGTGGAAACTGTGAGGGATTTAGGGGTTTTATTTGAATAGGGAGGGCCAGCCTGGCTTGCCCTACACTCATCTCATCAGTCCACACTGTGGAATCTCTTTGTTCCTGAAGGAGGGGGCAGCAGAAATAGCTGCCTGGGTGGAGGAGAATTTGAGTTTTTAGTTGAGATAGTAAATCCTGTCCCATCAGGGACACTGGAGTTTCAGGAACTATGAGGAAAGAATGACAGAAAAGGAGGTCTCTCAAAGAGCAGGCCAGAGGCCAGGTAAAATAGCACTCTAGGGGCTGGCCAGATTTGCCCCGAACGATAACTTTTGTCGGTGGACTGGGGACCAGGAGAGAAAGGTAAAACAGAGAAATGGGCTCCACTGTCTAGGAGGAAAATGACCTTTGCTTCTCTACCATTATGGCTACCCTGAGGCTCTTCAACATGGATGTCAGGAAGTGGAGCATGGACAGGGGGCCAGGACCCATCAATCCATAGGAGGTGACACCTCACCTTTCATCTGAAGACAGAGGCACTTAGACCTCCAGTGGTTACCCTTGCAGAGAAGGCAAGGTCCTGGGGGGGCGGGGCTGTCTCCCGGGCTGTCCCCCTTAAGCATTCTCTGCAGAAATGCCCCTCCTGTCCACCATGGTAGCAAGTTCAGGATACAGGCCCCAGTCGGGTGGGGGCAGCAAGGAGGTCATGGTGTCTGTTATCTTTCTCTCTGTTAGTAATGTCCCAGTTATAGTTTACAGACATGGCTAGCTGTATTAGTTGATCCAGTGACTTTTCTCCTTCAGCCACAGACTGAGTTTTCTACAAATATCTGGGGTTGACTGTTAGAAATTTATCTTTGAGGAGAACCTCTCTCACCTGTGACTCTGGGTCCACCATGGTGTGGTTTCTGTTAGCATCCTCAAGATGCTACAGAAAGGTAAGGGGATTTTCTGCAGGAGGTTGCTGTAAACCAAAGTTTTATTTTACTTTGACACCTGACACTCTGGAGAGCAGGTCTCTGAACTGCTCTGGGCCTCAGTTTCCTCACTTGAAGAATGAGGGATCTGGTCAGGTTAAACTACTTTCTTCCACTATGAGATGACTGAAGTGACATTAATGCCACTTATCTTTCTTACTATTTCTTTTTGATTTAGCAATGCTGGGGAATGGAACCCAGGGCTTTGCACATGTTGGGCAGACATTCTCCCATTGAGCTACTTCCTCAGCCCCTAATATTTTTTTTCTTTCCTTTGGCTGTACTGGGCTTGAACTCAGGACTTTATGCCTATAAAGCAGCACTCTACTGCTTGAGCCATATCACCAGCCCCTTTTAGTGTGGATCTGTCAAGGGGTCTGCCTGTGCCCCTGTAGGTAGTCACATTTATTCCCTCATTTCCAGGTGCCACTAGTATTGGGGATCATTGTAAATGGTAATCATTTTTAAACTGAGTGGTTTGAGCTAAAACCCATTGCTTTTCTAATGAGACAAGAGTCTGGTCTATAGAAGCAGAATATCCTTTCATGCCAATTGAAAGGTTTGGATCACAGAGATAAAGGCTTGGATGTATTTGTTTGGGCATCACTATAGCTGTCCAGATGTTTATAAATTTCCCTTAGATCTGATAGCTGGAAGAGGACGTAGACTTACCCTTTTCCTACCATTACCTATTGAAGGGGGAAGCACCCATTAGGAGGTTCTGAATATTGGGGTGGCTTAGAAAGTAGGGCAGAGGGTGTTTATATTGTGGCTTACAAAGAATGGCCAGTGTTTGAGTATCTAAATAGCAATTATGGAGCCAATCTGAGATGAAAGAAAATTTGTATAGGGGACCTCAGTTCACTTTTTTTCCCATTTTATAGAAAAGGTCTAATTGGAGTATGGTATTGTAATTTAAGGAACCCTGTGAAGGCCACTTCTCTTGGTCACCCAAGACATACAGAGGCCAGGCTTCAGTACAAAGCTTCCAACATCTATAAGCCAGAAGACGGGAAGGTGCAGGTCCCATCTAGAAAGAACAAAACGTTAGGATCCTGTCTTTTAGCTAACAGCAGGCAGCCTCTTTAATAAAGGTTACTTTTTTAACAAAGGAATAAATCACCTGTAAAGTTAGAGAAGGGCATTCAGAGGGCAACCTGGGGCACTAACAGTACCATATGGGACAACTAGTGTTAATATTTGGAGGGAAAATTTTATGGTGAGGCCAAAGGTATAGAAAGT